CCCCACCCTCCCTCGCCCCGCTCGCTGTCATGGCTGTAACGGTCGAGCTCCGGTTGTGATGGTTTTTATTTAATATTTATGTGAACTTCCAAAAATGAGAATTTTTAGGGTGTTATTGCACTTTTTAGTTTCATTTTACCATTCGGGGATTAAAAAAAAATAATAATAATAATTCTATATATATGATATATATCTTTTTACAGGGAATTTGCTTTAAAATGATGTTTTAGTTCACTTTGCTTTTAATGCACAAATAGGTGTTAGTGTGACGAAAAAATGTTTTGTGATTTATTTAAAAAAAAATACAAGTTGTTTTGTTTCTTATTTTGCTTTTCTTTTTTTTTTGATGGGGAAATTTTGGTAACAAGAAAATGTGTATGCCAGATGAAAATGGCATGCTTGCAAGAAACACTAATATGGACTGTGAGTTTAAGTTTTAAACTTCATGGCAATGCTCTTCTTGTAGTGCTAAATTATGAATCACTCTGGTTTATATGGAGCAAATATGTACGACTGAGGAGTGGACACACTGGTTATAAATGATCTCCTGAGCTTGGCATTGGAAATAAATATCCATCATATAGGGAATAATGATGTGTGTAGATGGTTTTCCTCCAGCTATTGTTTAAAGAAGAAAAAAAAGAGGCTGTACAGTATTTTCCTCTGTAAAAAAAACAAACAAACAAACAAACAAAAAAATGCTCTTTGAGGAAATTTTAAAAACAAAACCATAAGAAGGAAAAAAGTGAATAATAAAAAGAATACAAATAATGTCATAGTTTGCTTGTGTGTGTGACATTTCTCAATTATGACCGGTTCCGATTTTTTTTCCTTTTTTTTTTCAAAACGGTTCATACTGAACATCTTTGGCTTCCGTTATTAGGCATTTTCTTAAACAATGTCAAAGCTCAAACTCACTGATTAGAATGTGTCTGGTTTGTTGAACAATGTGTTTTATTCATTTGTCATTTCTGTGTGTGCTTCGTGTGTGTGTGTGCGTGTGCGTGTGTGTTTTTTTCCTCATGAACTGAACTTTTTGTTTGGTTTCTATTTGTAGTTTGCTGTGGGCATGCCTCGTTCACAGACTGTCTCCCGGGACTCTCTCGCGAAGCAAGAGATCCTCCGAAATTTCTTTTTGGCATCTTTTTTCTTTTCTTTTTCTGACAACTGTAGGAGCTGGGAGACAATAATCACTTGAATTTAGTTTGTACGTTTGTATGTGTGTGGCTGTACAATTGCAGGATTTGTAAAAAGTTGGAAATAAAGAAAATATATAGTGATGACATACGGTATATGTGGTGCTTGAGCATGTTGGGAGGCCCTTGGGGGAGGAGGGGGGCGCGGGGCGGCTCGATGAAAGCAGGGCCAAAGGTTAAAGCCGTCCATTTGCCGCCTTTTTTGTAATGTCACCGACACTACTGAAGTGAGTGTGCATGCATGCTTGTGTGTGTGTGTGTGTGTGTGTGTGTGTGTGTGTGTGTGTGTGTGTGTGTGTGTGTGCGTGTGTGTACGCGTGTGTGTGAGTGTGTCTCACTGTTAGAAGACACCAAGTTCCCCAGCTGCTCACAGCTTCGATTCATATTTCATGACCTTGTGCCCTGCTTTGTCCTACCAAACCCATCTGAGACATTTTTGTCTGTGTCACATTATCAAGAATAAGAAGCGGCGAGTGGGGGACAAAAAAAAACAAAAAAAAAACCAAAAGAAAATTAAAAAATCATCCGCATTCACACAGGTAGAAAAATCTCCAATATTTGTTGTCAGGTTCAGCCGTAGTTTATGGCTGATTTGAGAGAAGTGCAGTGAATCCACCGAATTTGTAATGTAAATTGAATGATTTCATTCAGTTATCAAAGTGTCGCCATCTTAAGTTGTTTTGTAACTGGTTAGGGTTGGATAAGATTAAGTGGAGTCACAATGTTGTGGTAAACAAATGGTGGAGCAACACATGTGGCCAGCCAATACTCACAGGCATATATTCTTTATCCTCTACAAACAACTCATACTGTTCTAACTTATTGAGTTGCTGAAAGTAGCGGCGATTTTTCTTCATGTGTCTATCTGACGTTATACTGGCCCCTGATGGCCAAGGCGAGCACACCAGAAGGAGAAGCACGGTTAACTGAATGGAAGCATGAAATCATGGTGCACAAACTGTTCAATTCTTTATGTTCTATTTAATTATGTGATTAAGCGTTTTTGGGTTTTTTTCTCAAAGTACAATAATGTTCTTGAAATCCATTCATTTGCTGGGATCGGCTCCAGCACGCCCCGCGACCCTCGTGAGGGGTTAGGGACGAGGGCACCACATGATTTCATTGTCTATTGACTTTGATGGACATGCTGGGCTCCACTCCCACATGTCACTCCGCAGTAGCCAGTGTGCCAAGTCTGTCTGTCTGTCCGCTCGTGTACAGCTGTTGCCGTCCTTCCGCCTTCACTCCTTGTGATGTTTTTTTCCCCCACTCCCAGTAAAAAAGCAGAGAAAAAGGGAGGTAAAGACATGACCATCTGCCCACCAGCTGGCATCCTGTGTATAATCATCAGATTAAAAAAAAAAAAAAAAAAAAAAAAAGATGAACATGAAAATTATATTACACCAAAACCAGAAGGAAACAACCTCCTAATACTGTGCAGGCTTCCACCAAAAGGACATATCGTCTTCGGTGAAAAAATTGAGAAGGATGAGCGTATTTCCACTGCTGGATAGATTGTGCAGTCAAGCGCAAAAACAAAAAAAAATTGAGCATTTTTAAAAGTATTGCACTTTTGAAGTAAAAGCCAGCGTCTGTAGCATGACAAATTTTATTTGAAAAGCTGCCAGCAAACAGGCCAGGGGTGGTCCGAACATCTGGACACATAGACAATTGACATGAATTGCATCGAGTTTATGTGACTCTTGAAAAGTGCATGCATCAACCTTTGCATGACAAATATTGGATGTAATTCATTGAAAATAAGCATTTTTGCTGATGCGTGCAGAATTTGAGGACACACTGTAATTTTACTGCTGTTCTGTAGCACTGGTCAAATGTTATCCCTTCTTCCCGTTCCACTGCGCTGTTGAGACTGGTTCTTGTCTCGAAAAAAAAAACAAGACTGCAGTTTAACACCGTGAAGCTTGCTGAACTGACGTTTTGCAAATATGCTGATGTTTTACAAACAAAATTCACAATGTCAAGGTGCAATGATAGTGGACTCAAGTAATACACAGCTTGATAATATCACAAAGGATCTGCAAGACGTAAAACCTTGTGTACACTTCACACAGACGATGGCTGATGACACTAAAATAAGACAAATTAAACAAATGGTCGACTGGTTAGCGCGTCGGCCTCACAGTGCCGAGGTGCAGGATTCGATTCTGACTTTGCTGTGTGGAGTTTGTGTGCTTTTTGCGGGTTTTCTCCGGGTACTCCGGTTTCCTCCCACAAACTTGCATGGCAGGCTAATGGAACACTCTAAATTGTCCCTTAGGTGAGATCGTGAGTGCGAAACGTTGTTCGTCTCTGTGCCCTGCGATTGGCTGCCGACCAGTTCAGGGTGTCCCCCGCCTACTGCCCGAAGACAGCTGGGATAGGCTCCAGCACGACCCTTGTGAGGATAAACGGATCAGAAAATGGATGGATGGATAATCTGGTTTCATTTTAGGTTAAATGAAAAATGGTGAATTGTCTTCGCTTGACTTGTGTACTTGTGAAGTTCATGCCAAGTAAAGAAAGTCTTCCTTGACCAGTCCTGTTGTGAACCAATGTTCTTCTGGAATTTAAAATGTCTTTAAAGTCTTTTTCATTTCTACAATGATCTTTCCACAGACGCCATTGTCTGACCCGGAGTCATGTCGCCTCCGGGACAGACTGGCTCAAATTCTTTTCAGTCAGAAAGCTGAAAATCTAAACCCAGTCATTGACATTTACGGCTATCTGTTTTATGAGGTATGCTAGCAAGGGGCCTGCACAGAAGGAGAACAGCACCAACGTAAAACCTATGCGCTCTCGTACGCCCCAGTCAGTGTGGCTGCCACGGCCACACGAAAGGAAGCAGCGTCATATTGTGCGGAAGCAGAAAACTGTCCTCACCTCATGCTTTATCTGCGTTTTAATGCGATCGATTGCACACAAATATTCAATGCATTAGCTTGGCTCCGGAATGCATATTTGAAGTGTCTGAAAACATG